ACTGGTGAGAAGAGATGCAGCAAATTCCCCCCCTGCCCCCCCCCCACACACACACACTCCCCAAGAGCTAATATGTTTACTTACGTATTTTTGCCAGGATACTTTGCATTTCTATCATTCCACTTTTAAAGAGTTGCAGTGACCTTAAGAAAATAACCTTATGTAGATGGTTTTAGTGATCCTCTAAGAAGCCTATGACATAGTTCCATAAGAAATTTAAGGAAAGAAAAGAGACAAAAATAAAATACATGAAAAATAGATATCCCCCATCAAGGCCAGATCTCCTACAATGGTTGCTTTAAGGTATGGTGGGGGGCAACTGGTTGGCTCAGTGATTGAGCATCTGCCTTTGGCTCAGGTCATGATCCCTGGGTCCTAGGATTGAGTCCAGCATCAGGCTCCCTATGGAGAGCCTGCTTCTCCCTCTGCCTATGTCTCTGCCTCTCTCTCTGTGTCTCTCATGAATAAATAAATAAAATCTTAAAAAAAATAAGGCATGGTGGGAATTATTTCTGATTTGACTATTTCATCCTCTCACCTTTTAAAGTAGTAAGTCTTTAGGAGAAAGCTTTTAAATTAAAATTTTGTAAAACAGACTGTTTTCTGAATAGCATGCAAATAGTTTCAGAAGAAAGAAAATTACAATATTGTTTATAAACAATTTACAGTGCTGAGTCGTTATTTTTCATTGTTTAAGCTGCATTAGATTTCACAAAAGCTGTTTAGTACAAAATTACAATAGGAACGCCTGTCCATTGTATTTTTCAGAAGAAAGCTGGTTTTCACAATATTATTCACATTTTGTAAACAGCATCAATGAACCTGCACATAAAAGGTTAAATGTTTGCAGACCATTCTTTTTTGCCTCAAAGATCAGAGACAAATTACTATTTTTATTTTACATTCCCTTGATGAGGATAATGATAAACAGCTGTCACTTCAGTGCTTAGACTGCAAAGAATCCTATTGCAATCCTATAATTTAAACAAAGAAAAAATACGTAGTCATACACAGTATACATAAGAGCACAACAGAGAATTTGGTTAGAACTGGGTCAGAGAAAAGGGAACATTTGCTCTCTGAAATTACTCAGTTAAAAGAGAGTCCATCTATGCACATTTCCCCCATTTTTCTTAGATAGATTAGAAAGGGAAAGTATTTCTTCTTTCTTTCTAAAATCAGAAAAGAAATTCAATTTGCATTCTGAATTCTGTGACTCCCATCATGTCCATAATATTATCTGAATGGTTAAAGTTTACATGTGATCACATATTATTTCCAAATGCTAAAGAGAATTTCAAATTGTTTTATGGGTTATTCTGGAATAATTCTTCTTCCTCCTCCTCTCCTCCTTCTCTTCCTCCTCCTCCTGTCCTCCTCCTTCCCCTCCTCTTCCTCTCCTCCTCCTCCTCCCCCTCCCCTTCCTCCCCCGCCGCCTCCTCCTCCTCCTCCATCGTCGTCTTATTCTTCTTATTTTTTTCTTCCTTTTACTGTTGAGAATTAAACCATTCGGTGTTCTCCATTCGCTCTGATACTTTCTTTGTTCTTTGCATCTGGTTTCAAAAAGTGAAAGTGAATGTCTTTTGCATGTTTTGATAAGCAAAAACTAAAGTGAGGCTAAAAGTTAAAAGTTGTGTGAAATGGGAAAATTCAGTGTTTCTATATAAAAATGTGGATGATGACATATATCATTTCTTGGTGTTTTATATTTCTGGAGGTTCTTTCAAAAATACTATTTACTCTGCTTTTCTCTCCTGTTTCAATAATCTTTTTTCTTTACAAACAGCAATATTTTAATGACATCTTTTCCCTGGAAACTCGTTTTACATTTATTATTTTATCTATAAAACTGACTTGATGTATTATGGATATTTCACCATTTCGTAATACTTCTTGATTTTTTTATACTTAAGGAAGAAAAATAAATTTGTTAATATTGTATGCATGTTACATTTTCTGAACAAATTTCACCTCTCAGAGACTCAGCATGCTCTTCTATAGGTTGACAATAACAAGGGCCTCTACCTCCTGAGGTTGTGGTATGGATCTTCTATGTAAAGTGCTTAGCAGAGTACCTAGAACACAGCAAGTGCTCAATAAGTGTTCCTAGGGCAGGTGGAATATTGACAATGAAATGTCATCACCCCCAACTGTTAAATACCATAGCAAAACCTCAGTATATTTCAGATCAGAGAGACAAACTGAATTGTATTTTATCTACTAGAGAGGTTTATGTCGCTTTGTATAAAAGATATTTTCCTCACAAAGCTGTCGGTCATCTGTTCTCATTTATATACATAATTTCATAAGCATTTTATCATTCTCACTGTTATCAAGTAGTAAGAGACCCTAACTCATCACCCTGAGTGATTCCTCTGGTCTCCAGTGTCTCTGACATGTACACAGGCACACTTAGAGGCCCTGTAATGCACCAGAGCAATTTCCTTGATTTAGGTAAACCCCTTTTGCAGTTGTTAACTCCTCCTCCCATGCATTGAGCTCTGTGCTGGGTGCTGAAAAAGGAGGGATAAACAAGACCCCAGAATCTAATAAGAAAGGAACATGAAACTAGGCTGGATATTAAATAATATAAGTGAATACAAGACACAGAGGAAGTACAGAGGTGGGAGGGGGGGATGATGGGGACCTGGGGGTTTTCAGGAGCTTGTCCAGAAGAGGTGATGATGAAGCAAGACTCTGAAAGATGGAAGATCTTCACTGGGGGGAGGAAGGGGTTCTGGGCAAAAGTGACAAGCTTGCAGAAAACACAGAGGTGTAAAAAAAAAATACACTTGCCATTTTTATATTGCTCTAATTGAAAATGTTTTATGCTCAAATTTTTCACTTTAAATTTTCATAGTATATGTTGAGAGCCAAGCAGCTCTCTAACTCATATTCCATGAATATCCAGAAAGGAAAGAAAGCAGCTAAAATGTATTGAGGCCCTTGGCCAGGTCATCTCCTCTGTGTTATCTCATTTAGCTTCCACAAGTTTACCAAGGACACGGATCCCCATTTTACAGATAGGAAAGCTGAGTTTTAATTACATCAAGTAACTGAAATGTGGCCACACAACCAGTCCACAATAGAGCGTGACTTTGAACCTAGAGCTTTCACTTTCAAATACGTTATCCTTAAAATAACACTGTAGTTACTACTGACTCTTACAACTTGGGTTCAACAGGGAGCACATTTGCAGTGGTTTTTAAACCCTAGAAAGAAGTTTGGAAAACTGATTGTTTTTTCACTGCCATGGCTTACCTTCCCTCTATCACTTTACCACATTATGGCCTTAGCTTTTTACCTACTTGTCCTAGATCCTTTTGTGCTTGTCTATCACAAATTAATAATAAAAATAGAGAACTACCTAAGACTCGATTTAGCTCTTTGTCTCAGTGAGCCAAGACCATTTAAAACAACAGTCATGGGATGCCTGGGTGGCTCAGCAGTTGAGCACTTGCCTTCGGCTCAGGTCGTGATCCCTGGATCCAGGATCAAGTCCTTCATCGGGCTCCCTGTGAGAAGCCTGCTTCTCCCTCGGCCTGTGTCTCTTCCACTCTCTCTTTCTCTCTGTGTCTCTCATGAATAAATACATAAATCTTTAAAAATGAATAAATATATATAAAACAGTCATTTTTGAAACTTCTTCTACCTTGCTGGAGTAGTGGTTAGATACCTCAGAAATGTCCTCCAATGATCACCCTGAAGCATGGAGTCATACTCTCAGGATTGGAAAAATGACTGTAGTGATTTAGTGAGCACGTTATTTTAATATTTTTTAAAAGTATTGGATATTTCTGAGCAAGAGAAGCTGATATAAATAACTAGGACCTATTTCTCTCTTTGTTATTGTTGACTTTGTCAGCCTACAAATATGCCTTTTACACATGCATATTGATTCAAAGGAAAAATGTCATTTATAGATCCATTTAAGCACAGTGCTTTGCCTAGAACTGATACGATGATTGAAAACCTGGCAGATCAAAGTATGTACATTTCCAAAGAAAAGTACTTCATGCCTACAATGGAAGCAATAAATTATCCCCCCTCCTTTTTTTTTTTTTTTTTGCATTTGTAATTAAATCTTTCCAAATGTTAGAAAGTAGCCAGACCACTAACAATATTTGTATCATGTTCTGGGGCTTAGATGGTTCAACCTGACTTGAAATGGAGACCATTTGTTCTAAATTGATTTCAATGCCAAGCCAATAGGTCAGCCCTTAATGATGAAGATGCCATTCCAGCCCAGCCTCTGGTGGATAAGCCAAAATTAATTAACTCAAGTCCCATAGTATAGAAAACAGATGCTTCTCTCATGTTGCACAAATAAATTCTTTGTGTATAGATGTGTTCTGTTTTATTCAAAGAATAACAAGTTGGAAGTTAAAATTGTAAGTTTTCCACAATGGAGCCAGCCTTTAGTAGTGATGACAGAAGCATGAATTTACAGAACAAATTCCAGCAAGTGCATGGAAAGATGAATTATTCTCTATATCTCTTATTTTGACTCCAGGCCAGGCCCAGGAGATTTAGTTTTAAAACCTGGGCTGATGCAAATGCTGATCCATTCCAGGACAGACCTAGGAGTTCCAGAACAACACCAAGGTTATTTCTAATCTATAGAATCCCTTGAGACCCCTCCCAGAGATTTGCATCTGCATCATTTGCTTGGATTCAGTTCTTTGGCCAGCTTGCAAATGGCTGAAGATTAGACTGTTCTCTAGAGAGATGTTGTTAGGTGAACTGTTTATCTGGTTATTCATCTCAGCATTCACTCAGAATAGTTGCCTTTCCCAGGTTGTGGCTCGTTAAAAGTTGAGTAATAACTGCATGGTTCTGATCTCTTTTCAGAATTAATGGGTATGTTTAAATAAAGATGATACCATCTAGTAATAGGACTCCAAATACAGTGATCAGAAGTTGATCGTCTGAGAATGTATGGTATTTTTTTTCTTTTGAATGAATGCAAAATAATACATGTTTTCTTTCCTTTCTGTTAGACTGAAAATGATGAGAATGGCCAAGCAGAAAACTTTTCCATGGACCCACAATTGGAGAGGCAAGTGGAGACCATTCGCAACCTCGTAGACTCCTACATGTCTATCATCAACAAATGTATCCGAGATCTTATTCCAAAAACAATAATGCACCTTATGATCAACAATGTAAGTGATTATAAACTGTCTCATTCTAACTTCTAACCCATCTTAGTGTGGAAAGTGCTCATAGTCTCATCAGTTTTTTTTATGATATTTTCTGGATTGTTAAAATGCCTATTACCTAGGTTCATTTATTTTCTATTAAAAGCGGTAAGTGGCTAGTGAAAGAGAATTTAGGAAAGCAAACATGGAATAGCCATAGCATTGTGGTATTCCCTATAGCCTATCTCCTCTTGAAGAGTGCACATTTGCTCACCATAAAGCAGAGCAAAAATACTGTAGCTGCAGTCGGGGTATAAGTGAATTGCAAAGCCAACAATAAAACCAGATGCCCTGGCTCCTAGACTTTGAGATTAAAGGCAAAAAATATTTATTCTTTTCTACACACATGCACATAAAATACGTTATATGATTATTTTCACCTTCTAAAAACTATGGAATGCTATTTTAACCTGGGAAATGGCTTTTTGCCCTATCCCCTTGGATTCAAAGTCAGTCAGCTTCTCTTTTCTAAGGTAATGATGATATTGCCACAGATGTTAAAATGCCTGCTAGACTAGCCCTCAATTGATCTGTATCATATAGAATCCCTCCCTTTTTGTGGTTACCTTTACAGTGGTCATGATATGATACTTACATTATGTGGTCTAGTTTGGCAGCTCCTTTATTGAAGTACAAATAATATCATGGGTTATTTGAGAAATTATCTTTTAGATAAGATAAGCTATAATGGGGTGTTTTAGAATAGGCTTTTCGGACTCTTGAAAAGGAGACACCAACATTTTTAGTTCTAGCTATCTTCTAGGGACACCTTTTTATTTAAATCAATAATATATGATGAGCGTTTGCTTGTGATAAATACAAATTAGTTGGCAAAGGTACTGGACACAGTTGAAATCAGCAGAAACCTATATTATTAAGCCTGGCTCTGCTACAGACTCTATTGACCTAAATAAAGACAAATCAGTTAACTTCTTTACATTTGTTTCCTCCATATGTAAACTACTAACCATGACTTAGGGAATTTTTTTGTTAAGATTTTATTTATTTATGAGAGACACAGGAGAGAGGCAAAGATATAGGCAGAGGGAAAAGCAGGCTCCCCATGGGAGCCCAATGTGGGACTCCATCCCAGGATCCCAGGATCACGTTCTGCGCTGAAGGCAGGCGCTCAACCACTGAGCCACCCAGGTGCCCCTGGTTTAGGGATTTATTTCAGAAAATAGTACATGTAGAAATACTATGGAAAAATATACTTGTAAGAAACCAATGTGTCTGCCTGCCTATTTAAGAACCATAAAGAAGGGCATCCCTGGGTGGCTCAGTGGTTTAGCGCCTGCCTTCAGCCCAGGGTGTGATCCTGGAGACCCGGGATCGAGTCCTACGTCGGGCTCCCTGCATAGAGCCTGCTTCTCCCTCTGCCTGTGTCTCTGCCTCTCTCTCTCTCTCTCTCTGTGTGTCTCTCATGAATAAATAAATAAAACCTTTTAAAAAAAGAACCATAAAGGGCCTTTTCCATATCTCAAGACTTTTTTCAGAATTGTGTTTGTAAATATCACATTCTATTTGTTGTTCATGGTATATTTGTTCCTTGAAGAAAGGTTTCCTCAAAGAAACCCCTTGAGGGAAACCCTTCTTGAAGAAGCTCTAAGTACCCAAGGTTTTTATCTCTATTCCCTACACATTTTTGCATAATCAAACAAGGTTATTAGGATGCTTTGAAGTATCAGCAGTAGATAAGCAGTATCTAGGAAGTTTGGAAACCAGGAATTGCACTCAAGCTTAGTCACTGGCCCACTGTGTGACCAGAAGCAAATTATTTGGCCCCTCTGAGTTGAAGTGGGTGACTTCTAAAATGACAATAAGAACACTGAGCGGCCTCACTGAATTGTCAGAGAATGTAATAAATGCGACCGTATGCCATTTTGAAAAATACAGAGTACTAAACAAATTGTCTGTGCATTTTTTTAAACTACCCTCTTAATTTTAGTTAAATGAGTTCAGGTTGTTTTGCTGTGGTATATCCAGGCACTTGCTTATTTAAACATTTTCCTGATGAAGTATCATTTATCTTTTCAGTGTTTGATGGCGAGTCATTAGTGCTGCCAGCAGTTCAAACACTTCTTTGCTCTGCACTGTATTCAATCATCCACACAGGAAATAGCCCTTACTGTCTATACTGTGAGGAGGAGCCTGACACTAATTAGTTAAAAGGAGAAAGAAAAAAAGACCCTCTTGCAAATCTATCCTACTTTCACCTTCTCAAGAAACACACACACACCCACACACCCACACCCACACACACACACACACACACACACACACGAAGAAATGCCGGGTTAATTGCCCTCACCCCTCACCAGTGTTCTTGTTGGTTTTAATGAAATGGCTAAGCCCCCGCCCACAGGGAGTTGTCCAGGGAGAGCTCTGCAAGCTGTCTTAAGAGAGACCTTACACAGGAATAATGAGACATGGAGACTTATAGGAATGTGTGGAGAAAACAGAAACATCATGACACGCTGAATTCTTACGAAATACGGTTCTCTTTGTTTGAAATTTAACTTTTTGTGTCTGTCAGAAAAGAGTTTACATAACTCAGATGACCACTATTATTTTGTCTGCTTTTTTACACTATACATAAAAATACATAGTCATATCTATCTGTCTATCTGATAATGATATATATGTGAAAGAAATAAATTACCCTTTATAAATGCCATATCCTCATGGCATCTTATTGTACGGGACACCTGGACCCTTTCTATCCATTCCAGAAGTGCCCTGTGGAGTTCAAGGAACAGAAACGTGGTGAACACCCAGCGCTGTGCCATGCATACGTGCTGATTTTTTGTTCGGTGTTGAGAGACTTCAAGGCAGAGAATTCATCATAGAATCACAACTAGAAAACAAACGCCTTGACTCCTCATTCTGAACTCTATCCACTTAACCCTGCTGCTTCTATATTTGGCTCCTGGTTAGACCCTGGTTCTCCAGAATCAACGACTACCTGAAGCGGGGGCCTCTGTGTGTGGACAGTCACCGTCGAAAGCTGCACTGTGGCCTTTCCTCTCTGAAATGGCAGTGGCTACCCGGCCTTCTGAAAAAGAATGCGTTTCAGCCAACTTTCCTAAAGTTCAGAATTTGGTGGGCAGTTTCCTTTGAAAGTTTACATTAAGTGCTCTGCCACTCAAGTCTCCATATGGAATTATTTAAGAAGTTTAAAGCCAGCAATAAATGCCTTGCCTCAGACATACTGTAAGCCTTTGTCTGTTGAAGCATAGCAGCTGTTGCATTGCTTAAGCGCACTAGGGAACAGCGGCCCAAAGAAATAGCAAGTTTATGACAGCCGGTCATTCTGGACGGGCTACAGTCGAAGCAGCAGAGTCTTGTTGAGGACTTTAAAGTCAACACACACCTAGCACCCCATGGCAGGCACAGTTTGATGGCCTCTTTCTCTGCAGCTCACCCCATCAGAAGATTCTCGGTCCCAGAATCAGGGAAGGGAATCCAGCTTTACTGTGAAAGCGTCAGTGGCAAAGCCAGACATCATTCTGTGCTGGTATCCATAGGACAGCCATCCACTAGGTACTTGTGATTTTGCCCAGATTATAAATGAAGAAACTGAGGCTCTGAGAGGTTAAGTGACTCACCCCGGCTCTCAGAGCTGGGACTGGCAGAGTCAAGATTAAAACCCAGATCTTCTCATCCACAGTCCGTGAACGCGTATGGTGAGATTAGGCCAACTACACAGCTCAGCTAGCAGGGCTCCTGTCCCCATAGCATATACCTGATGTATCTTCCCCAAAGGCTCATTTGCTTGGATATTTAATTAGGGTTTGTTTGAATATGAGAAACGTTTTAAATCTTAACTAGTAACTCGAGCAAACCCAGATAATACAAAATAGAACATAAAGTTTTTATGAAATTTTTTAGCAATCAAATATGAAACCCAGAGGCATTTCACACTTGGAGTGCATGCTGCTGCCTGTGCCCCTGGACCCCTGGAGGTCCACATTTACTCTCCTTGGCCATTGGCACTTTGGTGGAAAATCAGTAACATGTGCTCCAATTTCAAAACTCACTGTAACTTTCACATGTATGAAGTAGAGTGTTATTTCAAATGTTCATTATTTGAGGTGAAAGTATCCCTTAAATACCAGGGCACTGATTTGTTTCCACGGGTCAAGAATTCAGCATCCTTCCCAAGAAACAGATCAGGACCAGGACCAGAAGCTCCCCTCTCCCCACTTTCCCCCACTACCATCATTCTGCACCGAGGGTAACACTCCTGATGTCTTACAGCATAGCTTATCTTAGCTCTGGCTGTTCTTAAACTTTGGAATCATATAGTGTGTGCTTTTTTGGTGTCTAACTTCTTTTGCTTGCTGTTAGGTTTGTGAGTCAAAGGATGTCACTTTTTAAAAATATTTTATTTATTTATTCAAGAGAGAGAGAGCAGCAAGCAGGGGGAGCTGCAGAGGGAAAGGGAGAAACAGTCTCCCCACTAAACAGGGAGCCTGATGTGGGGCTCGGGGCTCCATCCCAGAACCCCAGGATCACAACCTGTACTGAAGTCAGAGGCTTAACTGACTGAGCCACCCAGGTGCCCCAGGATGTCACTTTTTAAAGAAGGAAAACAGCACTGGTCTTTAGCGGAAATATATCCCTGAGAAATGGAAAGGAAGCTAAAGCAGATGTGAAAGAATTATGAGATCTCAAAGAACCAAGTTCCTTTCCCAAACTAAGCAAATTTAAACTTCTCGATTATGTTTTTCATATATGTCTTCATGAGAATGACAACTATCACCGTGTTGCAGACTGTGGCCCTCCCGTCTAGAAACAGACAGCTCTTAAGGAAATGGTCTCTTTAGTAACAGAATTATGTGAAAATTTTCAGAATGTCCCTTCTATTTGTGAAGGTTTTAATAGGGTCTTAATTATGAAGACAAAGAAGGTTTAAGATCCCAAGCTATTGCAGGTTGATAGAGAAGGGTTAAAGTAAGAAAGAGAAGAAAACATGTGGAACGTTTTTAATGACCTCACATTCCTTTACACTGAGCAGAACGACATGGTGCGGTCATGCCTGTTTATCTAGCCTGTAGACTCTGAACTGGAATGAGGTTTTGTAGTATGAGAATTTTTTGTGAACCATACCAAGATGTATAGGTTATAAGGTGTTATAATTAAAAGCATAAATATTATTTCAGGTCTCGCATCCAAGTATAATTCGTTTATGCTGTGTTCTGTGAGGTGTATTCTAAATGCCATCACCTCAAAGGGATCTTACTTGGTCTCCCTGTCATGCAGAATCCCTGATTTACGTATGTGCACCACGGACATGCGGACTGCTCAGAAAGTCCCCAAAGTGTCTGGAAACTCCCTGACATCCCCCTACCTTTGTTCCAGTTGTGGCATCACAAAACTAGGCTAGCAGGAGAAGAGAAGAGTCTTTCTAAAATTTTGTTTCATTGAAAAATAAAATGTTTACCCTCCACTCTGAATTGAACTGTATGTGTGTCTTGACACCCGCGATAGCTTTCTGTGTGTTCTTCTCCCTCTAAAAACCTCATGCCAACTTAATTTCGCCTGTGTGCTTTACAAAGAACAGCTTTTGCTTACCGAACACTATCAAAATGCTAGGCATTGCGCGAGGCAATTCATAATTATTCTTTCACTTGATCCTCACCACGGCCCTAGAGACAGCTACTACCACTGTCCCCAGTTTACAGATCAGCATCCTGAGACTGAAAGAGGTAGTTATTTGCACAAGAACAGCAAGTGTGGGAGCTGGGACTCAAATTCAGAGCTGAGTGTAGAGCGAGTGCTCCTAACCACTGTGTCTTACTGCCTTTTTTTCTCTCATGCTAGTAATATTCCTATTAATTCATAACATTGCCAAATCTTTGGGATAGTAGGCCAGTTTTAGTGTGTTACGTTCTGATGTGGGAGAGTTGATTCAAGGCAGATCTTTGATCAGAATGCTGAAACAAGCCCTCATTATTTTATTTCGTGGTTTGTTTGACAGTCGCTTCTTAATTCAGATCTGCTTTAAATCTCTTCTTGGAAGGACCTTCTTTTAAATTGTGTTTAATAGATTCTAAGTGATACTCCAGTTAGATGTAAAGCTTCAAACTAGCTTAGCCCAACTGCTGTTCAATGCCAGGAAAATTGTCTGGTTTTGAGTTTTGAGTTGCATCATCTATCTGAGTGCATGCACACTCTCAGCAGCAGAAGATTCGTGCGAGTGCCCCTGACTGTGGGTACCTGCAAGTGTGCTTAAAAGTGACTGAATCTCCAAAAAGGGGGATGAAGTATTCCTTAATCCAGATCCAGTGTCTTTCCTCTAACTTTTAACTTACTTCCTGACTTCTGATTTTCTGTTCTCTGACTCACCCAAACCTCAGTGCTTGAAATGTTCTTGTTCCTTTCGCTCCTCCCCTTTCACATCAAAACAGCACCTCATCCACCTGGGTTTTCCTCCATAATGTAATTTATATGTGCCCATCTTTTCTATTCCACTGCAGTCTTGCTAAATTAAACCCTTACTGTCTCATAAATGACATATAATGGTCTCCTAACAGATTTCTTTCTCTCAGCTGCCACCCTTGAAAATTCTTTTCCAATCACAGACAGATTACTTTTTCTAAAACTCTATTATATTGTTTCACTGACTTGCTTAAAAGTCTTCCATGGCTTCCCATTGCCAAGTGGATAAAGTTCAAACAGTTTGCTTGGCGTTCAAGGCTTTCACATCTGGCTCCAGGTTACCTGGCCAAATTTACCTTCCACAGCTATCACACATAAACCTTCTACCCTCTAGACAGTTGCCCAAATACATCTCGTCTACTAGATTACTTCCACATTTGAATCCCTCTTGGTTTACAAAATGTGGACAGAGAATACTTTTCATTTCACCACAGTGAAGCTATGATTTTGCTGAATTTTCTGATCAGTATAACTATTTACATAGCCTGACAACTTTAAAAAATAATAAAGCTACGTGTTTTAGACTCTTGTCATCTCTTGGTTACATATTTTAACTACAACTCGGGAATTCTGAGCATCTGACAGCTGTGCTGCTGTCTGCCTAAATTTGTAACAATTAAATATACTGGCCTTTGGAATTTCTTAGAAAGATCCAGTGACTCTAAATAAGTATTAGTCTTATTTAACAGAGAAACTGAAAAATCCAAGTTGGTTTATTTTTCTAGGCTTAAGTTAATTAGCATACATGCTGTACCACTCTAAAATAATGATGCTTAGACATAAATTGTCTTTGCTAAGCATTCAATCCAAGTGGGTGGGGTAATGGGGTAACAGAAAGCACCAGACTGAGTCAAAAGATTTGGGGTTCAACTTAATGTTATGTGGCTTTGGGCAAGTTACTAAAGTCTCTGAATTTCAATGTCTTCTTCTGTAGAATTGAGGTCATAGTAAATTTTGTATGTATGTGGTGGGAATCAAAACATAACTTGCGGGGGTACTTGGGACATTCTGTCTTTCACTGATTCCTGCACTCACTTGTTTCACATTTACTAGTTCTGACATGATGACACATGTCACACTCAGTGGCATCTGGGCATTCTGTCATAGTTTAATTGATGGTGTTTTCTCTTAGTGGCATAAAATTATGGCGTATCTTAAAATTACTGGTATCTTCCATTTGATGAGATATGGTGGCTGGTGCTTGCTCCCTTGGTGCTGTGCAATGTATGCATCCTCTCCATTCTCATTCTTCTTCAAACTGCCCCTCCCCTATGACTCATACACACTGTTCATACTTAAGTCTGTTTTCATATATCTGTTAACTATGGGAACTATGTCAGTCCTCAATACTGTTAAGCAGTTCTACTGTAGACTTCTAGAAAGCCAAGAGTAAATAACTTTTTGGTTTTGTAAGTCAACTTACAATAATCATACAAGGTTCTGTTTTTAATAGAACTTCACTTACTAGTGCTAATTCTACCGTTGGGTTGACATTGAAACCTGGGATCTTCATACTACTCCAGTGATTGTGGTAAAAACTAGTAAAAGACTGGGAATATGAAGGAATGGATAACTTGTGCTATGACATAGGTGTCTTTACATCATTGTTTTCTATTGAAAATACTGCTGCTTATCTTCTGGTACCTGCCCTCATCTCTATGCCAAGCAGCCACAGACAGCATTGTGGAAATGCTTGCATTGCCAACAGGCCCTGTTCTGGTGATAGCAAGATTTAGTCCTCTTTCAACTAATCTAGGTTTTCCTTTAGTCCACAGCCATAAGACAGAGGGGAAGACTGTTCCTGCCCTGGTACTGAGGATTGGGAGGACAATGGAGAAAATGAGAGTAAACAAATACGCATATATTGTACATCTTGCATGCATGATGCATCATGAACTTTTTCCCAGAGTGAAATGTTGCAGACTTGGTCCATCATGGGCTCTGAACCAGTTTATACCATTTGATCACTCATGTATTCCCATTTTTACTTTTCTGTGGTAACTTGACAGGTTAAAGATTTCATAAATTCAGAGCTCCTAGCACAGTTATATTCTTCAGAGGACCAAAATACTCTGATGGAGGAATCTGCTGAGCAGGCTCAGCGCCGGGATGAGATGCTTCGAATGTACCAAGCCCTTAAAGAAGCCCTTGTGATCATCGGCGACATCAACACTGCCACCACTTTCACCCCTGCACCGCCTCCGGTGGATGACTCCTGGATACAGCATTCCCGCAGGTAGGAAAATAGCACCACGTCACCTGAGGCCTCCCAAGCTTGTCCGGGATCATTTTATGAGTGTTCTTCCCTAAACCAATATGAACCGAAAGATTAAAGAGAAAGAAAGATATTTAAGTTCAGGAGTGAGAGAGAAGGTCAGATTATCTGCACTTCCTTCAAAAACAAACAATATATCCTTTCAATGGAATGTTATACAGTCATCAAAATGAGTAAGACAGTTCTATACTGAAGTGAAGAGACAGCCAAGTTAATGTGAAGCTTTAAAAAAAAAAGTTGTAGAATGTTATGTTCTAATATGTACAAAACAAGAGCTTATATAGAGAGAATATTGTGTTGTGTCATAGAATATAGTTGAAAAGGATACATAGTTTCCTGTGTACTGGTTGCCTCCACAGAGAGAATGGTTGGGGTGGGGGTGGGGGAATGTCCTTTCCACCATTTACCCTTTTATACCTTTAAAAATATATATATTTAAGTAATCTCTACACCCAAGATGAGCTCACACCCACCACCCCAAGATCAACAGCCGCCCGCTCCTCCCTTTTACAAGTTGCACTGTTCCTAAAACGGATCTGAGTTCCTCAATAAGAAAAAAAAGACTTTTTACAAAGCAGCCAGGAAGCCTTAAAATATGTTTTTGAAGATGACTCCAAACTGAAATGGATCTCGTCTGTCCCCAGGTCACCCCCTCCAAGCCCCACGACCCAGAGGCGGCCGACCCTGAGCGCTCCCCTCCCGCGGCCCGCCTCTGGCCGAGGGCCCGCGCCCGCCATCCCCTCGCCCGGACCCCACTCGGGGGCACCCCCGGTGCCCTTCAGGCCCGGCCCGCTACCCCCTTTCCCCAGCAGCAGCAGCAGTGGCAGTGGCAGCAGCGACTGGTTCGGAGCGCCCCCACAAGTCCCCTCCAGGCCCACGAGGGCCCCACCCAGTGTCCCCAGGTAAGTGCACTGCCCCCTACGCAGGCTAGGGGGACGCTCTTTGGTTCTCTTCTGCTAGCCTAACAGACAGACCTTATTCAGATAAGAAAATCGCAAAAATATTTTCATACACATTTGCAGTTTTCACCCAGGTGGGGTATCATGGGAAAACCGTGAAGCCTGTGACACCATTTAAACACCAATATGTGGTCCAGACCTCTCCTCTATCAACTGGCACAAACTAAGTGGGACCATAGGAAACTGGGTCCAAATGAATGACATTTGGGCAGCTGTTTGTATAATTTGAGAGAGAGCTTTGAAAGGAAAGAAAGAGCCATGGCTGGGTTATTGCAAGCTGTGTGCTCCATAGGTCATGAGAGTATCAAGAGCTAAGGCCTCGCCTTCTCTATTACCAGTGGAATTCCAGAAAACCACTCACTTCAAGGAATATTATCCATTTGCCCCCTGAACTATAACCCTTAAACCCAATATTATTAACTTTAATGTAGTCTAAGTAAAAACTGGGCTGATCAGTTTGCAATATATTAAAAAGAAAAAAAGCTGTGCGGAGAAATTTTAACGTAGACATGATGATTGCTATGTGCAGTCACTAACCATATATGAGATGGAACATCGTACATTTGAATTAATACATCTTGGCACGGGTAAGCAGATTTTCCAGGCTTACTTGTGAAACAAAATAGTGAATAAATGAAACTTGAAACATGTATATAGTTGAAGCTATATCCTCATCTTTGTACATTTATAGTCAAACATGTACAATGTGTATAATTAGAGATTTTAAAAATAGAAGGAATTAGAGGTTTTTTTTCTCAAGATCAGAAACTTTAAAAGAAAACTAGCTCATACAGAAATTTAATTGTTTAAAACATTCAATTCAGACTATTATAATATTTGTATGCTTTATGAAGGAAAACCTTACTATGCGTGTACCATAAAAGAGAAGTGACTTCCTCCCACCCACGAAGCCTGAGTCACCTCACTCTCTGATTACGGGGCTTACATTTATTTTGATCTTCAGGCTGTTGGGTGTAATGAGGAGAAGGGGCATCTTAAACTAGTAAACAAAGGATGGTGTAGCAGGAACAGCAGGGGATGTGGAATCAGAAGACCTGGTTTGCCACAGACCTTGCACAACTCATTAAACTCTGAGCTAGGGTTTCCTCATCTATGAAATAGGAACAATTTGAAAAAGGTTGTTGCCCAAATCATATGTAATGAGCCTGATAAACTGTAAAGCACTGTGGTCGTTAGGATTATCATCACTTTGGTCCTAATCAAAAAGGATAATGTACTCTCAAACCTGTATTTTTTTTTCCTCTAAAAATAAGGTCCAGCTTATACTTCATTTGGAATGGAGCTAAATTTAATAGTAGTAAAAGTAATAGTGAATATTTATTGTGCTCTCAATGTATGCTGGGCACTATTCTAGGTGCTTTGAAGGTACATTTTTGTTTACTGCTCACAACCACCCAAAAGGATAGGTTATTATACATTTTACAGATGAAGCCCAGAGGTTTAAGCAATTGGCCCAAGACTGCTCAACCAGACCCTAATGGAGCTGGGCTTTAATCCCAAGCAGTCTGACTCCAGAACCCAGTCTTCCAACCACAATACTAGGGTTTCTCAACCTTGGCACTGTTGCCATATGGGGGGTCGGGGGGGCACTTGTCCCGTGCATTTTAGTATGTTTAGCAGCATCCGGGCCTCTACCCACTGGATTTCCAGTCACACTCCCCCAGTTGTGAGTACTAAAAACATCTTGACATTGCTAGTGTGTTTGGGGAGGTGAGGAGTGGGGTGTAAAATCCCCCTCCCCTTGAGGATCACCACACTTCATTATTGCAAAGATTTTTCCCTCCATGTAAAAAATAAATAAATGTCAGTGTTGAGCCTCACTGCGAGCAAGGTTAAATTATTGTTTTAGGAAATTTCAGACTGACTAGGAAAGTATCTGTTATTGTGCCAGGAAGGTGTGGAGACCACTGGGGGGCAGGGTGGGGTGTTGAGAGTGGGAAGGCAGGAGTCCGAAACAGGAGCCTCAAAGTCGGCTGTTTTGTCTGTTTAGCTATAAGAAGGAACCAAAGCAACCTGGTGGTGCCTTTCCTCGGGAATGAACATGCATGTCTTTGTTTGCTCGCTTGGCTGCTTTACCTCTTTGTTTCAGATAAACTGGCTTGCCAATCCCTTTCAGAGATACTGCTGAATGCTAAACTGATTTGTTAGGCTGGATGGAGTCACCCTTTCCAAGCTCACACACGGAAAGAACGTAGCCAGCAGGAATCGGAAGCTCCAGCTCTAGCTAGAGAAGGGGAACCGCAGGTTTAATGCATCTGTGTTGGGGAATTTATAGGACAACGGTTATGTTATTCAAAACTTCTAGAATATTCTCAACTTGGAGCCAGCCCTAACTTGCCCTGGCCTTGCAAAGAGTCTCAAATGTAAAACAGAAATGAGCCTTCAGAGTAAAAGAGGAAGGAAGGTTGGTTTTTGTGCTGAGCCTTCAAGTTTTAGCGCCAGCCAGTTCAGTGCAACGGGAGGGAAACCCCTCTTGGGGAGGGGGAGGGGGGTCACCTGAGAGAGACCCAGAGAGACTCTGTCAGGATCCTTTTGCCTATTAAAGTTTAGCTTTAGATGAAGAATTCTGACCACATAAAGTCTGTTTTTAATAAAAGCCAGAGCAGGAATCCTACCAAATGCAAGCCAGAAATGGGGTTTAAGATTTCAAAAAAAAGAAAAGAAAAAGAAAGAAAGAAAAAAGAAAAAGGAAAGAAAGAAAGGAGAAAAAGAAAGACAAAGATGAAAAAAGAAAGAAAAAAGTTGAGGGGAAGCTCTTGTTGAAACTTCACCTTGTTCTGTTTATTTATATATTCTCTTTTCCCTCTTTCCCACTCTGATTTGCCTCCATTTTCTCTATTAAAAACTGAGAGAAAAAAAAAAAAAAAGCTTGAAATGCCATTATCCATCATCTCCAGGAAAACAACCCATAGCTTTCCGAGAAGGAAGTTTGAATTTTTTTTTTCCTAGCCTCTTTACTTTCTTAAGGGCCCTTTCTCCTCCTTTATCTGAAACCAGAAACTCCTAACGTGACAAGACAGGACAAGCCGTGTCCCGCCGGCTCCCTGTTGGGCTTTAATATTACAGAGGCAATAACGGAACTTTTAGAGGCAAAATATTCTACATCCGGCATGTGCCTGTACAGAGTTTTCTTCCGGATAATTTTCGACTTCATTAGCAAGTTATGATTTTGACGTTAGGAGCGTATACACCTTTATTTTAACCCTACTCAGATGTAATGAAAGCACTTGCTACTGGACAGAGACCATGAGCGTTCGGGTGTGTTGTTGTTTTTTTTTTTTTTTTTAATTATTTTTATTACATCTTTCCATTCCAATGTAAAGGAAGAGGAAGGAGAGGGGCGGGGGGGGGGGTCGTTTTCGGCCCAGCTTTTCTCAGCCGCTCAAGCCCTTCTGGTTTCTGTGCACCGAGCCTGCCTTCGGTGAGGGAGCTGCAAATGCTGCAAAGGACATGCCTGTTTAATTAGTTCCACCTGAGCTCGGGGAGCATCTCTATCCCAAAGAGACTCACCAGTGGGGATGCTTCTGTCATTAGTGAGTTGAGTGTACACAAATCTGATTTGTGGAACGTTGTCTATTGCCAGAATATCTGGCTTGCCCCCTCCCCTCTCGCCCCACTCAACTTCTCTGAAGGGGCGAAAACCCAGTTTGAAAATCCCAGCCAGTTGCGTTCCTGTTTAGCAAGATGATCTGAAACAGACATTACCACTTCTTTAGGGGCCCCGGTCTTCTTACTTGAAGATCCTAATCTTCATCAAATATTAACTTTAGGGCTGATGTAGCTATTTTCGGTTACGGCTTCTTAAAATTAGTTAATTGGGAATCACAGCCTTTGACATTAACAGAACAAATTAACTGAATCAGAGTGTGTTTTTCCTGGCAACAGCTGATTCTGGCATTATTTTACTCATTTGTCTTCTCCCCTTTCCCTGGACTAAGCTATTTTGCAACGGTCAAAAGGGGATAAGGGTGGGAGGAAGGGTCCCTATCCAAGGAAAAGCAAACTCCATTTACCTCATCACGCAAGCCTCTATTTAAAAAAAAAAAAAAAAAAAAAAACTAAAAACTAAAAAACTGAAGTACTTTTTTTAACCACCCTTGTCACCAAGTCTGATGGTGTCTTTTAAAAATGGGAAAACTGTATCATAGGAAAGGATTTAGCTTTTACTCCAGCTCATCCGCATGACAGAAACACAAGATGGAAACCAAGAAATGCTCCATTGACTCTCTGGTGAGTCCAATAGTGAAGCTGACATCTCGTGCTGCACGGACAGCCCTGGAGCATCATCAAGATTATCACAGGGTTTCCCACTTATGCCCATTCTGTGACTTACTCATTTTCCCTGACTTTACATGGCGCACTTTGAGAGTCTCATCGCAGTCCCACGGTCTCAGTAATTTACTGCAAAGCCAACCATGGCAAAAGTTACAGAAATCTCTCTCCATAAAGAGATAATTGGTGCACTCTTGGTCTTGTCTTTAAGGAGGTAAAAACCATTTGGTTCTCTTTACAATTGAATCTTGTTTTACATGTTTGACCTTGATACACTGCTATGCTGTATCTCTTTTCCGTATTTTATATGTTGATCTAGTGGACATTAACACAGAATCCCTTTAACTTAGGGATAAGTTCTCCTTGTTTTGTTTTTTTCAGCCAGTCCCCCAAATTTTGAGTAAGGACATACCCACGATTCTTATAAGTTTGTCTTTGCATCCCTCACATGAAGGTTTGGTGCCATGAAGGATGAAGCTGCTGAGTCTTGAAGTCATGGGTTCAGGGTACACGGACAATTAAGCGACTTTTGTGACTAGCCTGTGTCTGATTCTCCTGAAATCATGTCCTGGAAAACATCCTGACTTACTCCCTCCTCAAGAGCCCTCTAAAAGTATGACTTCTTTTAGCAACTGAGTGTCATTTGGACA